ACCGGAATGGGTCCGGTCGTAACCGGAACGAGTCCGATCGTAACCGGAACAAGTCCGATCGTAACCGGGACGTGACCGACCGTAACCGTAAATTAGGTCCGGTTTCCGATCGCAACCGGAAAATTTGGGGCGATTTACGATCGTAAGCGGAGATTTTCTCCGGAACCGTAACCGGGATTTTCGGCTGGGCTTACAAACTATTTTAGGGCTTACAAAGAAACGTACTTACACTTTGTAACTTACAGAGAAAATACTTAATAATTTACGAAAAACCGAATAGTTTGTACCTATCATACGTTTGTGAGCCTGACACTCATGTGCAGGCACACTCTATAAGTTGTTCAGAGAAGATTGTCTTTATTACAGTGCCGCAGATGACTTTATAACATACCATAGATATTTTTACGAATTTCGTTAAAATTATGGACAATATCTTCACCATAGTATGTTGGTACAGCCTTTCACCGTAAGACATTTATGGTGCAAATTTGGGAAAAATGGCACGCCGTAAAAATATAATTCTACAGCCTCTTCCTCTAGCCAGTTTCAAGGAAAAGGAATCGGTTTCTCAAAAAAAAAAGAGGGGGGGCTAACCGAGTTGGGCCGGTAGTGAGGTGGACAAGCGGATTAGCTCCGACTCAATACTCCGGCGAATCGTTTCCGTCCTCTGCAGCTTGTCCAATGTCCGTTCCGCCATTTTTACCCCCGGAGTCGTCGCTGCGCAGCCCGACGCAGCCGGACCGGCCGGAGCCGAGAGGGGCGGGCGGCAGACTGATTCCGAGAGTCGTTTTCGTCGCGCCGTGTCCGTCGCACTCGTAGGCTGTGCCATGCGAGCGAGAGAGACAGAGCGACGAAAACGACTCTCGGAATCAGTCTACAGGGCCAGGCCGCCAGGCCAGGCGGGGGCTGTGTGTCTGCCCGCGTCCAGTCCCGTCCCTCGGCCGGTCCATCTCCTTGTTAAAACATCTCGCTCGGCTGGGAACGGAAAGAAACACGCAGTGCGGGCGCAGGACACGCCCTGCCAAGCGGTTCCGCAGGAGCCCTGTTATCCTCTCTCTCTCTCTCTCTCTCTCTCTCTCTCTCTCTCTTTCTCTCTCTCTCTCTCTCTCGCACCCCATGAGAGCGACAGAGACAGAGCGACTCGTCCATCCGGTCCGGCCCGGTCCGAGGCAGTGGCCCTCATCGCCTTAGCCCCGATGCCATCCCACCTGCATCCATTAAAGGGGCGCGGGGACGGTGCGGCCCTCCCAACCCCCGGCAGGCCCGGCCGGCAGCCCCGCGTCAATGCCCCCCAGTGAATACCGAGTACTGCGTGCCGCGGCGTGCAATCGGATGAGGCGTCTCGCAGGTTGGGCACCCCTGCCCCCCCCCCCCCCCACACGTACGCACGCACACACACACACACGCCCACACGAACACACACACACACACACAGCACACACACACACCTACACACACGGGGTTTGCTTACTCCGCAGTGGTTGTTATTGTGAGGGGCTCTGTATCCGACTGCTGTGCCCCCTCCCCTCCCCCCTTCTCCGCTGTCGAGTCAATCAAGGCAGATGGCTGGGATCGCCTTGGCGGTCGTAAAAGCGCCTGCCCCTCCACTTGGACATCCCGACGGCCCCAACGCAGCGACGCAAGGACACGCTGCGCTAGGCTCTGCTACGCTATCGAACGCGGCGCCGCACAGTGGGCCAGAAGACCGGTGGAGGCGGTCAGAGCCCCGGACGCGCTTTGAGCTCCAGAGTCGCTAAATGGGACTCGAACCGAACGTGTGACCCCACCAATGGATTGCTCTCCGAACGAGGAATCCATTGGTGAACTCTGGAGCTCAAAACGCGTCTAGAGTTTTGGCCGCCGCCACTGGTCTTCTGGCCCACTGTGCGGCGGTGGTGGTTTCGAACCCCGTCCCGGCTGCCCCGGGGAGCATTCCCAGTCCGGCGCGGCGCGTCAGGCCTGGGGCGACGTTTTAATGGCCGACCGACGAGAGAGAACCGCGCCAAATTAATTATTATCGAAGCTCACAGCGAAGTCGTCGTCGGGGCCCGGTGATTGCCCGAAGTCGGTCTGGACTCCAGACTCTGGAGGCCGACGGCGAGGTGCGCGAGCCCCCACCCCTCTCCCCTCCCGGTAATCCAGAGCGAGTTACTCCGGAGTGATGATCTGCCGCCAACCGCGGGCCGCCGATGGACACCCAGAAGTTGGAGCAAATGACCCAGCGCCGCACCCAGAACCAAGTCCTGGTCCCCGTTGGCCCCTGGCCCGCCTCTGGCACCAAGAGATGGGTTCAGGGAGAGGGCGATGTAACAAAAGTTGCCTACCTACATGGTCGAAGTGCTACTTGTTGCCTACCTTTCAGGCGGCTTCTTTGCCTTGGTGGTGCAATGCCTCCCCCGCTGGATCCACCCCTGTCCCCCCGGCGGACGCGAAAAACGGCCAAGAGGCATCAATGGCACCGAAAATCACGCGATGCATAAATTAAAAGCAGTTTTATTACAAATGTCGGTCGCCGCCTTTGTCACCCATAAAAGAGAACCATCATTCTTGGCGATTAAATTTTACGAGTCCTGGCCGACGCGGCGACGTGGCAGGGAGCGCCAATCTATATGCAAATTCCGCCCAAGACTGTCGACCTGGGTTCTCTGTGTGTCGGGCCGCCGTGGCCGGGCAGCGCAGGGCAGCGCCGGGCGGGCAGGCCGGCCGGGCGTGGCGGGGTCGGGGTCGGCACCGCCCGGCTTCGCGTTTTAATGTATTTTTGTCGAATTAACTAATGGCTGTCGACGTCTCGGTGGTTGCTGCCGCCTCGCCACCGCCTCCCAGATCCCCGCGCTAAAGTGCCGCGGGGCTGGGAGGCTGGAGAGCTGGGATGCTGAGAGGCGGGCACCTAGGCGTCGAGCACGGTGAAGCCACACCTTAGACCTCGGCAGGGCAAAGCCGCCACCGCCGTCGCCGCCGCGGAGACCCACCGCACCGCCGCCAACAAGACAAGTCGCGCACATTTTTATTTCCCTCCCCAAAAAATATCCCAACTTAATCGCATTGACTCCTTTTGTGTGTTTTCGCCCACTTTTAGAAACGAATTTCGGGAGGGACTGCCTCTTCGTCCGGAGAAAATGGGATTTCTCGGCGTAAAGAGGGGGGCGCGTGATTCGCCGAGACACGGAAATATAAATGGATTCGGAGGTGACAGTAAAAAGTGGAGCACTTTGATTAATGCGGAAGGAATCCGAGTGAGCCGCCTCGCCGTTGCGTCGCCTTTGCGTCGCCTTGGGTTGGTTTTGGGTCGCCTCTGGGTCGCCTTAGGGACCTTTGGGGTCGCCTTTAGGTCACCTTAGGGTCGCCTTAGGGTCACCTTTGGGTCGCCTTTGAGTCACCTTTGGGTCGCCTTTGGGACGTCTTTGGGTCGCCCTTGGGTCACCTCTGGGTCGCCTTTGGGTCGCCTCTGGGTCGCCTTTGAGTCGCCTTTGGGTCGCCTTTGGGTATCACCTTTAAGTCGCCTTTGGGTCGCCTTTGGGTCGCCTTTCGGTCGCCTTTGGGTCGCCTTTGGGTCGCCTTTGGGTCGCCTTTGGGTCGCCTGGGTCGCCCTGGGTCGCCTTTGGGTCGCCTCTGGGTCACCTTTGGGTCGCCGGGTCACCTTCGGGTCACATTAGGGTCGCCTTAGGGTCGCCTTTGGATCACCTCTGGGTCGCCTTTGGGTCGCCTCTGGGTCCCCTCTGGGTCGCCTTTGGGTCGCCTTCGCGTGGCATTCGCGTCGCTTTCCGTGCCAAGTGCCGCGAAGCCATTCAGGGACTAATGGAGTTGCCAAGGGCAAAAACGAGAACGGCCACCTCGATTTCCTGCAAAATCACCCTCCAACAGGCCCTTCAAGTCCGTCAAATATTCTATTTTCGACGAGGATTATGACGGCAGAAACGGGAAAAAGTATCGCGAACACTGGCGCAAGATGTGGCGAGACCTCGGTCTTGCCTTTACGATGTTTTTTTTTGTCTGAAAAGTTTGCCCACTTTGCGCTGCAAACACGACAATAACGGCCCAAATAAAATCTCGCGGTTCCCCCGCGCTAAATCGAGCGCGCTGTACCGGGCCAGCCAGCCAGCCCGGCCGGCCCGGCCAGCCCATCAGAGGCGGCTAGTCACGGCGGGGAAATATGCGGGGCGCGGCCGCTTGCAGGACGGCTTGGAGGCTTTGGGAGTAGCCCGGGAGGCGGAAACGGTGGCCATGATGTAGAATGAGAGTGGGAAGCGGCCAGGGAGCGGCCAGGCAGCGGCCAGGGAGTTCCCTCAGAGGAGCCGGTCCCCAGGGAATAGTGGGAGGGGCCCTTCCAAAACAATGTTCCCTGCGGGGGGCGGGGGGCCGAGGGGCCCCCGTAGGGCCGTGGAGCGACTCAGGACCGTTGCCGCCCGAATCCGGCAAGGCAGCCAAGGCCCGGACGCCGCCAAGCCGCCCTGCCCAAGGCCCCCAAGGCCGGCCGACTGGGCGTTGCGTCGCGCACGCCGCCGCGGTGACAGCCTGATGACGGGACTCGGAAGATGTCCTCGGAGCCGTGCGGAAGCGCCGCCGAGCCCCAGACGCCGCCCGCGCCGCCAGTCAGTGAGCAGGACGCCGCCGAGCAGGTGACGTCGGCCGACACCGCGGCCGAGGCGACCGACGACAACCCGTTGCCGGGCGACAACGACGTGGTGGTCGACGCCGAGGAAGACGTCGCCGCTCAGGACGACGGCGACGCCTCCGAGGACACCGTCGTGGTAGCTGAGGACGACGTCGACGCGCCGCCGGACGACGAGCCCCCCGCCGTCAAGCACGCCGGCGAAACCAACAGCCAATCCTCCTCGGCGGCCATTAAGGAAACGACCGAGCAAGTTTCCCAAGAGGCCGCGCAGGCCGCCAGTCCCGCCAGCCCCGCCAGCCCCGCCAGCCCGGCCGGCAGCAGGCAGAGGACGCCGAGAAGGGCCGCCATCACCCGGACTGCGCCAGCCGCGCCAGCCGTGCCAGCCGTGCCAGCCCAGCCCAAGCAGGCCGGCAGGATCCCCGGCAGGGTCGCCGCGCCACAGACCCCCATGCGCAAGGCGCCCCTCACCAGCAGCACGTCCGCGCGAAACGCCAAGGCCATGATGCGCATCAACCAGCAGCCGTCGCACCACCAGGTAAGCGGCGACGCCCTTTGGCAGCCTTTGGTGGAGAGCAGCGCCGAATGTTTAATTCTCCACGCGCGCAGCGGCAGTGCACAGTGGGTCAGAAAACCGGTGGATGCGGCCAAAATTCTAGACGTGTTAGGAGCTCCAGAGTCCGCCAAACAGGACTCGAAGCGAGCGTGTGACCCCACCAATGGGTTCCTCGTTCGAAGAGCAATCCGTTGGTGGGGTCGCACGCTTGATTCGAGTCCCATTTAGCGACTCTGGAGCTCAGCACGCGTCCAGAATTTGGGCCGCCTATACCGGTCTTCTGGCCCACTGTTCGGCGCAGTCGCGCGTGTTCTTTCTATCTCCCTGGCGGCCCAGCCAGCCACCCGGCCCCACTACTTCAAAGTGAAAATAACCTCCACACGGCGCCACGGCGCTGCCACGGCGTCTCGGCGGCGCCACAGTAGCTCTCCTCGGAAATCCTGGGGCGCCCATCCGTCTGGAGAATCTCTGATGGGATGGTAATGATGCCAGTAATTGCAAAGGGGCGGCGCGGCCGGGCGGCTCGCCGGGCGGGACGTGCGCTGGGGTGGGGCGCACCACGGCGGCCAAAAACGCACCTGGTGGGGAAGGGGTTTTAACGCTGTCGTGGTTCTGGCGGATGAGGAAAGCAGACTGGAGGTGGCTCTGATTCCATTAAGTGTGCCCAATTACAGCCAGCCATGCCTGGCGCCGTCTGTCCCTCAGAGTTTCCTGCAGCCACCGTTCTGCCGGCAGGAGTCGTTCGGCGAAGGGATCAAGACAGGTCCCTCCGGCAGCGACAACGACTCCGACTCGGAGGTCTCGGACGCCGAGCACTTCCTGGCCAAGGGCGCCTTCCTGCTGACGCCCAGCCACGAGCTGAGCCTCGAGAAGGCATCGGCCATCTGCGAGAAGATGAACTTCAACGCGCCCTTCTCGCTCACCAAGACGGCCACCGGCATCCTCTTCAAATTCGCGCGCCCCGAGGACTACCAGGCCACCTTCAAGAAGGGCTTCCACAAAGTGACCGGCGCGCGTTTCTACAAGAAAGTGAGTAGCGGTGTGCACGCGGCCGGGGAGTAGTCCCGGAGCCGAGCCCCGAGCCCAGTGGGTGAGAGGCGGCCAAAACACTGGACGCGTTTCGAGCTCCAGAGTCGCTTAACAGGACTCGAACCGAGAGTGTGACCCCACCAATGCGAGGGGGAATTCACTCCCGAAAATGGGGAACCGACTATTACCTTCCGAAAGTATTACAGCTATTACCTTGACATTACCTGCAATTACGCCATTACCTTGGTATTACGACTATTACCTTGATAATACACCCATTACGCAGCAAATACACCATAATACATGGCAATTACACAGCAAATACACCATAATTCATGGCAATTTCACAGCAAATAAACCATAATACATGGCAATTGCACGGTAAATACACCCTACTACAGTGCAAAGAGGGAATTTTCCTTTACTTTGGGTCACTATTTGCATCAGGGCATAGAGTATCTACGTGCGACGGTAGCGCTGCGGGTGGACAAATTGCGAAATATTCACAGTAAACAAAGCTGACAGGCAGAGGAAATTTTTGTTTCATTGTGGACGGTTTGCATGCATGATGCAGTTCAAAACAGCAATGATATCACATTAGTTTTTATAATTCCGTATATTGGTTGTGCCTTCCCTTGCAGTGAATAAAAAATCTTTTGAGCTTCTCTGCCTACCCCTAAAATCTTACTGAGAGTCTGTGACACCTCATGTGTTTGGTACTTCACTGGATGTTTTACGCAGCCCAATAGTGATTTTTTAATATTATTTGTCTAGTTGGGATTTTAGTTACATTACTTGAATTACATTACCTGAAATTACTGTAAAATCTCAGATTTGTTGCATTTGTTTCGTGGGTCTGTGCACAAATAAATTACGACTGAGGGCATCATAACCTAAGAAAGCACATCGACCCACAATAAATTTAATTTTATAAAAACAAAAGCATTTTAGTTAGCAGTAACATCTAAAAATATTATTCGAGTTCTATGATTAAGAGGTCTGACTAAGCATGTCCGAGCCCAAGGCAAGGTTAGAAATCCAACGTGCCTCTGGACACCATGATGATAGATACAAGAAGATAAGTCTCATGTGAAGTAACAATATTTCAGCAAAAAGTAAGACGGAATGCATTATTAGTCCGGGACTCATCCCGGACTACAACAATTCTTGCAGAACGAAACGCAAATTGCGTTACTCACTGATGGGAAGCAGCCAGAGCCAGGCTAGCGGTTTGGTTTGAGACGCTCGTCTCACCGCGACTCCAGCCTCCCCCACCCCACCCTACCTTCGGAGGGAAGGACACTTCCACGGCATGGGGTTTGTCTAAAACGCACATACTCAGCCACCGCGGTCTCTCCCGAGAGACTCTCCGAAGCGGTCGCGAGCTTCAACGGAGACTTTTCGTTAGAAAAAATGTGCCAATTACTCATCTAATACACCCTATTACACCAATTACAGCACTAATACGACGCAAATACCACTATTACCAGTAATTACGGCCATTACGCAACTATTACCTAATACAGGCAATATTACAGACCAATTACACACCCGACAACCGACTAATACCAGAGTGAATTCCCCCTCGCACCAATGGATTGCTCTTCGAACGAGGAATACGTTGGTGGGGTCACGCGTTCGGTTTGAGTCCCATTTAGCGACTCTGGAGCTCAAAACGCGTCCGGGATTTTGACCGCCTCCGCTGGTCTTCCGGTCCACTGTGCGAGCGAGTGCAAGCTCGCCGACGTGCAGTATCGCCGCCGCCCCGCCCCGCTGCCCACTCACCGCATGAACCGCTTGGTGACCGTCCGAATGCAGATCCCCATCCCCTGCCGGCCGCAGAAGACGTTCACCGTGTTCGTGATGGAGGTCCCGGAGGAGGTCCCGGAGGAGGACATCCGCCACGCGCTCTACAAGTTCCACTCGGTTGTGGAGGTGGTGCGCCTCACGGGCACGGGCGGCCCCCAGCAGCTCACTGTGCAGAAAGACTCCACCAGTAAGCCGCATAACTTAAACTTTGTGTTTTTGAATGTAGCGGATAATGCACGGATAATGATTTGGTTTTTGCTCCATTTCCAGGCAGTAGCGGCGGGCCCCCCACCAAGGTGGAGAAGGCCATCGGGTCGACGGCAAGCGGCTCTACGGTGGAGATCGGGTCAGCGGGGCCGCCGCCTCTCATCCGCGTCACGCTGGCCAACCTCGACGAGTACAACGTGCTGCTGCAGAACGGCCTCGACTTCTACGGCTCCACCTTCTTCCCGACGGAGGCGGCCTCCCCCAGCGGCCTGGTGCGGCTGCCGGCCGGGCGAAAACCCACGGGCAACAGGTTAGCGCGGCGGCGGCGGCCCGGGGTGGCCAAGGGCTTCGAGGACGGCGCGGCCTCCGCCGCGAGTACCACCTGGGGAGGGTCTTGGGGAGGGTCTTGGGGAGGGTCCTGGGGAGGGTCCTGGGGAGGGTCCTGGGGAGGGTCCTGGGGAGGGTCCTGGGGAGGGTCCTGGGGAGGGTCCTGGGGAGGGTCCTGGGGAGGGTCCTGGGGAGGGTCCTGGGGAGGGTCCTGGGGAGGGTCCTGCGGAGAGTCGGACCCCATTAGGCAGGGCGCCAGTTAAATTCGCGCGCGCATTGCTTAAGGACTTCCCTAGTCTTATTCGGAATAAGAATCCTGCTCGAATTACTCCACGCTGGAAACTGACAAACGATTTGAACAGTAGTCGCCGCCCTCTGCCCTTCCCGCTCCGCCCCGGCTGGGCTGGGGTGTGGGCTGGGCGACCGCAACGTGAGTGACGTGCCTGCACTGTGCACACCCTCGGGCGGGCTGGGCTGACTCTCCGGACCGGCGGGCACCGCACGCATCGCCAGCAGCCAGGCACAGGGGGAGCAAAATCCGAGACGCGTTTTGTGCTCCAGAGCCGCTAAACAGGACTCGAACCGACCGTGTGACCCCACCAATGGATTGCTCTCCGAACGAGGAATCCATCGGTGGGGTCACATGCTCGGTTTGAGTCTCATTTATCTACTCGGAGCTCAAAACGCGTCTAGAGTTGTGACCGCCAGCGCGGGTCTTCTGACCCACTGTGCGCCAGCAGCCACGGTCCCGGCTGGTCCTGGCGCCTGCAGCCGGCGGGGTAGGCAACACCCCCCAGGCCGCGCAGGCGTGTCTCGGTGGCGGCCTACCCGCCGCTCCGCGGGCGTTTTCCTGGTTTTCCCCGGCAATCCTTTACACCCCGCTCCTCGTCCTCCTCCTTGTCCATGTGGTGTGACCTACTTCCCCGCCGTCCCCGCAGACTGCCGAGCGTATCATCTCCCCCCTCCTATCCACCTTCCCCTCCTTCCCCTCTCTTCCCCCGCCGCCCCCCGCGGGGCCACTTACAGGCCACCACTCGGGCGGCTGGGGCCGCGTGCGGCGGGGTGGCGGGGCGCCTCGTCGTCCTCGGACGGCGGCTCGGCGGCAAGGACGAGGACGGCGTCGTGGCCTCCCGGACGCGGCCCCCACTGCGGGATGGCTGGCTGGACCAGCAGACTGTCTCTCTCGCACTCATGCGGCGTACCGCATGGGTGTGAGCGAGACAGAGCGACGGAAACGACTCTCGGAATCGGTCCACAGGGTCGCCCTGGGGCCGGCGGCGCCCAGCTCCGGGAATAATAGACGCCATTCGGCCATCCTCGTCACCAAGTGCCTGCCAGTCCCCGGCAGCCTCGCCCGGCAGACCTCGCCCGGCAGACCTCGGCCGCGGTCAGGCGGGGCGGGGCGGGACGGGGCGGGGCGGGGCGGGGTGGGCCGCCTTCGTTCCAACCACAGCAACAGGCTGCGTGCGGAACGGCAGCTGTCTTTTTCGGTGCAAATCGGCGCGGGGGAAAGACACATAGACAACACACTAACACATGGGCACGCACACACACACACACACACACACACACACACACACACACACACACACACACACACACACACGGGCGCGCCCGTCCCTAGCTAGCAGCGGAGAGAGAGGCAGAGCGAGGGGAGAGGTAGAGGGAGCGAGAGAGACGGGGATGTTCGGAATTGAATGGTTACGGCGCTGCCGGCGCTGCGCAGGGCGCTAAAGTGGCGTGCTTTGCAGAGCTTCGCAGTGCTTCGCAGCGGGCGGGGCGAGGCGAGGTGAGGCGAGGCGGGGCGAGGCGAGGCGTCGTCGTGGGCGAAGCTGAGGCGAGGCGAGGCGAGGCGAGGCCGGGCGTGGTTCTCAACGCATTCACTGTGCAGCGCGCAGCGCTTGGCAGCCCGCCTGCAGGCTGCCTCTCAGCAGCCTGCCGCCGTTGCGCCTCTCCCTCGCACTCGCGGGGCGCCCCGTAAGGGTGCGACAGAGACAGAGCGACGCCAAGGCGGCAGGCGGTGCTGGCGGCAGCGGGCCGCGCGCACAAGTCCTCCATTGAGAAGTACTTTGGAGACGACTTGAGCGAGCGTCGATGTCACGCCAGAGAGAGAGAGAGAGAGAGAGAGAGAGAGAGAGAGAGAGAGAGAGAGAGAGAGAGAGAGAGAGAGAGAGAGAGAGAGAGAGAGAGAGAGAGGGAGAGAGAGAGGGATGCAGTAGGTGTGCGTCGGCCTTAGCCTGCCTCGCCGTCGTCCTTTCGGCGGCCGCATTGCAAAAGGCCAAGCAGGCAAAGCGGTGGCCGTTGATTGCGCCCCTTTGTTCAGCTTTCGCCCCAGCCGAAGGGGAGGGGGGGGGGGGGGCTGTTGAGTGGCGGGGCTGTGTACCGATTCCGAGAGTCGTTTTCGTCGCTCTGCCTCTCTCGCACCTATACGGGAGGGCCCATGGCTGCGAGAGAGGCAGCGCGACGAAAACGACTCTCGGAATCGGTGTGCAGTGCGCTCATCGCCACGGAAGCGGTGACACGCTTCGTGACCGAGCATGATCATGCCGATGGAGGAAAGTAGAGTCTTTTCCCTTCTTTTGTCGACTCGTGTTTGGCGGGCCGCAAGTCCAATCCTGAATGCCGAGTCGCACGATTCGGTTTTTGAGACCTGCTTGTTTTTCAGTCACCATCACTCAAAAACCGAAATCAGATCTTTGCGCCAGCGGCGTCCGAAAAACCCCGCAGCAGACCAGAGCAGACGCTGCCCTGCTCGGCCCTGCTGCCGCCACTCGGGGCGGTATTTTGGCCAGAGCAGCTAAACCGTTGAAATTAGACGGGTATAATCGAGCCGATTGTAGATCTCGGTTAAAACAGCAATCAGCTCGCTCACACACCCCTGTAAACTTCACGGTTAAGAAGTACTAAGAATCAAGAAACTACCCGTAGCGGCGCTGGTCGAGCTCGCCGTGTTAGAGTAGAGGTTATGTTTCGGCCGGCGGCCGCGAATTTCACTGGCCTGGCCTGCTGACTGAAAATCGCTACAAAATGACATGACAGGCAGTTATCCAGGCTCGTGCAGACACACTGCAGAGCACCGCGAGGCTTTTGCGAAGTTTCTCCCGCGAGCCGCTCATGAAACACTTTTCGAAACACAAACACGCACGTCGCGTCGTCGCCGCCGCTTCTACTAGGTATGAGAAATCGAGCTGGCGCCGACTCAACGGGTTTTGAGCACGCGGCTACGATTGCGGTGCGGCCAGGAGTCGGAGTTCGCGCGCGTCGAGTTCGAGCCCTCCCTTTTGATTGCTTTTGATGTGTACTTGGAATGAATGAGGCCACGAGGTAGGCAGGCTGGATGGATTTGTAATTCAAACTGATTCAAGTGGTGGAACCAGACATACACGGAAACCTCGAGTAGAGCAGGGCGACACTAGAACGCAGACGACAGCGGCGGATTATCACCAGTCAGCTCGAAGCGAGTGCGTCGAGTATTGAGTTTTGAGCTCCAGAGTCGCTAAATGGGACTCGAACCGAACGTGCGACCCCACCAATGGATTGCTCTCCGAACGAGGAATCCATTGGTGGGGCCACATGCTTGGTTCGAGCCCCGTTTAGCGACTCTGGAGCTCAAAACTCGTCTAGAGTTTCGGCCGCCTCCACCGGTCTTCTGGCCCACTGTGCGGCGGGTTATCGCCCTGGCCGGCGCGTCGCCGCCAACATGTCGCCGCCGAGCGCCGACGCCGCCGTCCAGATGGCGCTGGTGTCGCCCCCGGCCTGCCCCGGCCGGTCAGTTCGGCAGATTGATTGCTGAGTAAATGTGGTTAGGGCGCCGGTAGTGCAGCGAGACGCCCCAACCCCTTTCGGCCACCCCGCCCCGCCCCACCCCGCCGCCCGCCCCACCCCGCCCCGCCCCGCCCCGCCCCGCCCCGGCAATCCTTGTTGCTCTCTTGAGGGGGTGGCGCTATTGTTCGAGGACACCGCGGCGAAGGGGCAGTGGCGCCGAGGAGGGCCTGGCCGGCCCTGGCCTGGTCAACGCAAGGGGTGGGGTGGGGTCATTACCTCTCCTGCAGGACGCCTCTGGAAACGACGAGCACCGAGTGAAAAAGAGGGGAAAAAATCGAATCAAAATCGCGCTTCTGCTTCCGCGGATATTAATTTGGCGCGTATTTTAGCTCAAGCGATTATCGGCCGTCGGAATGCCGAATGGTGGCCGTGATTACCGACTCTCCTGGACAGTTCATTGGGCTGCGTTCCGCACGGCTGGCTGGCTGGCCGGGGGCGGCCGGGGGCAGCCGGGGGCTTGGCCCCGCGAGCCGTGCCGTGTCGTGCCGTGTCGTGCCGTGCCGTGCCGAGCCGTGCCGAACGCGCCAGGCGGATGGAATTCTTCCCTCTCACATCCCTTTAACCCTTTTTGCCTCACATGCATAACGACCAGGCCGGCTCGCCATTACCGAACAGCGCTCATTCGGACCATAAATTTATCTCCACATTGATGAGTGGCTGCCTCCCCGCCCCGGCCGCACCGCACCGCGCGGGGGACTTGAAGCACCGAACTAGCCCTTCAGCTCTCGCGGCCGGGGGGGTATTGTGCACAATACATCTTTCCGCGTCTCGGCGCGTCTCGCGAGCAGTCCTTGTCATTTCTCATCGGGGCGACAAATTGCCTTCGCGGGGATTTCGGAAAAAAAGTAGAAAAAGAAACGTGACGTGACAGTGCGGCGTTCATTTAATTGAAAAGCACTGGGAATAAATACGAGGGCGCGCTGTGCCGCGCTGTGCTGCTGCTGTGCCGCGCTGATAAATGCGATTCGTTCCAGCTGGGAATGTTGCAGCCTGATAACCAGCGCCAGCAATATGTTAATCACTCGAGCGATAAATAAGCAGAGCGCGCCAATGTTTCGATAAGATTGGAAGTCATTCGGGCTTCGGCTGGCTTTCGGCTCCGTTCGACCCGCACTGCGCGCACTGTCGTTCCGCTGCTCGTTTTATCAGTGTGGCGCGCTTCTATTTATGCCCGCGTATCGCTCTCTACTTTCTAACAACGTCTGTATTCGCGCGCCAAACTGCTGTTGTGTGTTTCTGCCTGCGTGCAGTGCTGCCACACATGTAGGCGAAAATTCATCCGACGATGCACCGGTGTCGAAAGAGTATTGCCAACCTTTGCCTGCCTACTGCACAACATCTCGGCTTCGCTATCGAGAAGTTGCCTATTAAGCAGGCGTGGCTTCCGACACTGATGCCCAGTGTGCCAGAAGGCCGGTGGAGGCGGTCAAAATATCAGACGCGTTTTGAGCTCCAGAGTCGCTGAATTGACCCCACCAATGGATTGCTCTCCGAACGAGGAATCCATTAGTGGGGTAACACGTTCAGTCCGAGTTCTGTCGAGCGTCTCTGGAGCTCAAAACGCGTCAAGAGTTTAGACAACCTTCACCGGTCTTCAAGGCCAGTACCCAGTATGATGCCTGGTGTTTTTTTTTCGCCTACGTAGGTGGCAACACTGCCTGCGTGGATTCTATCTCTCTGTGGTGACTGATCTCTGGGCGCGGTGTTTTGTTCGGTTTTCAGAATTCTCGATGTGGTTACAGCTTCCGGCCAGCGTGTTCGTGACCTGCTGCCCGTCTTCGACTCCACCGGCTTCTCCAAGATTCCCCCGCCAGCCATGAAGACCATCAAACCCCGTCCCAACTGAAGAATCAGACCTTCGACAACTTACTGGAATCTCCCGCCTCGCTCCGTCCATTTAACTTTTGACAGAAATGAGTCGACAAAACACAATCAAAATACTTTTATTTTTTGTCTCTTTTTTTTTTTTGAACTAACCAAACTTTGCGGCACAGAGAATTAAACACCAGTATCAGAGGTAGTGCTCTTTAAATGTGTAATTATTTTTTTAAAGTTTGTTTTTGTACGGTTTTTAAAGTATTACTCCGAGTTTCGTTACACCGGACAGGAACTGCCCACAGATCAAATTAGAGTACTTTAATAAATGCACAGCGATTTAGAGAAAAATCTTCCGCCACTTTGCTACATTTACATTGAGATAATAAATGATGTAACTCAGGAGTAACAGCCCGATTTACTTTTGCTCTGCTCCATACCAAAACAAAAGAACACAAAGAAACAAAATATATCCGCCGGTCGGCCAAATGGCAGAAACAGGTCCACATGAAAGTGGCTTCAATCCGGCCAGTCATTGGCACACGGTTATCCTTCTTGACAGTTGGGTGGCCCCAGGCAAACACACTCCGCTGGCTTCGGCTCCCTCTAGCCCCTCTCTGCGCGCTCCGCGCCCCAATGTTCCCCGTGGCCTCATTCCCGGCCCCGCCGGCCCCTGTGTGCCTGTGTGCGTGGCCGGAGGAGTGTTTACCACCTGGGTGTCGGCCCGTCGGCCCTTCCCCCGGCCAGTCTGTCATCGCCAGAACTGCCTTGCAATGTGTGCACGCACCAATTGAGACAAACTGGATATACAGTGTGTTGGCGAAACACGGCAGGCGGATGACGTCACAGCGCCCCCGGCGGCCCCGGCAGCCCGCGGCCCTCTGGCCTCGCTCCCACCCAGCCCACTCTGCCAAGAGCGTTGTGCGTATAGCGGTCCACAGTGGGCCAGCACACCGGCGCAGACGGCCAAAACTTTAGACACGTTTTGTTCTTCGCTAAAGGGACTCGAACCAAGCGTGTGACCCCACCAATGGATTGCTCTTTGCACTAGGAATCCATTGGTGGGGTCACACGTTCGGTTCGAGTCCTATTTAGCGACTCTGTAGCCCAAAACGCGTCCGGGATTTTGACTGCCTCCACCGGTCTCCTGGCCCACTGAACAAAGGCGAGGAGGGTCAAACTGACAATTCATTCCAAAATTTCATCCCCACAAAAATGAAAAAAAAAATGAAAAAAAAAATCTCATTCAACGAACGTTAATGAAAGCAGATGATACTCGTTTGGTTTTCTTCTACGGGGTATATGGGCTCATAAAAAAGATAGTATTTAAAAACTGAGTCCTTTGTGGCGTGGCCTGCACCGCCGCACCGTGCCCGTTGGATTGCGAGCACCCGGTGCATCTGCGCTGTAGGCGGGGAGGGATTGTCAATGTTCCGCGCAGGCCGTCGCGCGCGAGGAGGGGGTGCCATTGTTTACGCCCGGCCCGGGGAATGATTGTCGAATTCCGCGCAGGCTGCGCCGGGCAGACGCACCATCCCGCCCCGGCAGCCAGCCCCTATTATATTGTTAGGATAAGCACTTGGTTTTTGGACTCTCGAGTAAAAGCTAGCTGACACCTTTATGTGTCTCGTAGTTGTAGTTTTAGGTATGTTTTTAAGTAAAGGTATCATCTGCTAAAAAGTTTCCTGCAAAATCTTGACCAGTCTCCGCCGAACGCACGCTCCATGAAAAAAGTGGACGGCCGTGGGACGAAGGGAGGGGAGGGGTATTTTCTTGCCTCGCTAAATCTGGGGCCCATTGAATCCCTTATGACGTCCCAGCAGCCCGGCCGAGCCCGGCGCAAAGGGGGTAGTGGTGGCGCTGCCTCACTAATCTCCCTGTCAGGCTCGTCAGCCCCCCCCCCCCCTTCCCTCTCCCTGCGCCCCCGTCTCCGGTCCACCGTCGAAAACACCGCCTTTGTGCGAGACGTCATTATCACCAGGTACGGCCGCCACGGCGTGGCCGGCGTGGCCACGGCCACCGCGCCGCCGTTGTTGATCAGTGTGCTCCCCGCGGCCTCGCCGTGGTTCGCCGACACGGCCTTCTTCCCCGGCACGGCGACGAGGTGTCTGCTGCGGTCTGGGGGCACCATCAGGGTTCACGACGGGGGCGACGCCCGGCGCACGCTGATTCCGAATAGATTGGTTTCGTGGCTCTATCTCTGGCTCACAGTCATGCAGGGGCGGATCCAGAGCCTGAGAGAAAAGGGGGGGGGGGGGTAGCGCGTCCTGCTTAGGGGCAAATAGTTTTGGAGGCAGCTATCTGGAGGTCGAAAAGGGTCAATTGGTCTTTGCCTACTTTGCAATCATGTGGCGTGCCGTACGGGTGTGAGAGAGACAGAGACGAAACAACGCACGCGGAACGCCCCACAGTGGGCCGGAAGACCGGGGCGGACAAAACTCTAAACGCGTTTTGAGCTCCAGAGTCGCTAAATGGGACTCAAACCGAACTTTTGATCCTACCAGTGGGTTGCTCTCCCAACGAGGAATCCATTGGTCGGGGTCACATGTTCCGTTCGACTCCCATTTAGCGAGTCTGGAGCTCAAAACAGGTCTAGAGTTTCGGCCGCCTCCTCCGGTCTTCTGGCCCACTGTGCGCCCTGGACCCTGAACCTCGTGCCGCCCTACCTACTTTGTCGCCCAAAATCCCGCGCGCAACAACTGTGTCAGGTGGGGGCGGCCCCGGCGGCCCGGCCTCGGCCCTGGCGGTGCCGGCGACACGCCCTGCCCGGCATGGGCAAGCCGCGAGCAAGCCGTGGGGCATTGTTTGGCCCGGCCAGGCCCAGCCCACGTCAGCGTGCGATAGAAATTAGTGACACAGCACGCCACGCCGCCGGGCCGGCGGGGCCGCACCGCAGCGCCAGCGCCCCCCCGGTGGCGGTGGCCAGAGTGACAGCCTGCATTGTTGTGGGGCTTAGCCCGGCCCAGGCCCCAGCCCAGCCCCCTGCCCACCGGTCCCCACGCTGCCCCGCGCGGCCCCGCGCGGCGCTGCGTGCTAAAGTAGTTAAACACCCGCCAGAAATGCGCGGGCTTAACTGAGCTAAACGATTTTTTTCGGAAAGTCCCAGCCGCCCACCCCCGGGCTCCACACTGTTATTTATCGTGGTCACCCTTTGCGCGCGCGATTTGTTTTCCTTTTTGCTTCTCGTTTTGAGGGGCCCGGCCGGCCGGTGCCGGCGCCGCGACGCGACTCTCGGTTCGGTTGACGCGCTGGTTGGCGGCACCGACGGGAAGCCCCGGCGCCAGACAGGTATTTTCTATTTTCACGTTGATTGCAACGCCGCGCCCAAAGTGGCGGCAAAATTAAATTGGGTGTCGGGGGGGAAACAGGGCGCTGATATCTGGGTCGAGTGATAGGAAATCGACGGCGGGGGGAGGGGAGGGGGGTGTCCAGGAGGACGACAAAACAAAAAGGATAAGCCTGCCCTGCTCTCCTCGCAACCAGCCGTTTCATTCCACCATAAAATGATAAACCAAACTAATTTTTATTTAAGAAATTAGGTGTTTCAATTTTTCTGTTTTTTTCAAAATCATAAAAAAGCCACGACCCAGGTGTGAAAATCCGCTTTGCCCACAGCGGATCCGCTCCCTTTTGAGCGGATCCGCTAAGACTTTACGGGATCCGCTAAGGACTTAGGAGATCCGTTAAGTGCCGAGTGGATCCTGTAAGGAGGCACAGTGGATCCGTTTAGGCCACACCGGATCCCTTACGATCCGCAGAGGAGAGGATCCGCTTGGTACAGGATCCACTAAGGCCGTGTCGGATCCACTTAGCCCTTACCGGATCCAATAACTTAAGCGGATCCACTACGGGTGTCCCAAAATAAAGTGGCTGTAAAATCGGAAGTTATTGGAATTTTGAGCTCAAAATTTATACAGGGCATGTTGAAGAGAATTCACTAGGGCCATTTGAATTTCATTGCAATCGAAGAACATGATTTCGCTATCTCGAAAACCGCTGATGGTAGCGAAAAACGGATTGCAGATTTGGATTGGACTTCGTTTCATTAACCTAGGACCCAATTTTCAGAATTTAAATCCTTCGTACAGTCTTCAAAATAAAGGGTCGTAGGTCACTGGATCCGCACTGTACCAGATCCTCTTCCTACCTCGATCAACTCCCTAAGGTGTAAATTTCGCGGGAGCGGATCTGCTTACCTAAGCGGATTCATTTCCGGATCCTTTTTTAAGTGGATCCTCCAACAATACTGGATCCGCTGAGCTGAGTGGATCCGCTCCCGCGAAATTTACACCTTAGGGAGTGGATCTTCACACCTGGGGAGGGGGAAATCACTCTTAAAAACTGTGACCAGACTACTCCCTACGCTCTATTACGCTATTACAGAAGGCTTTTTACGCTCGAAAATATCCAGATTTAGGCTAAAATCAGACCCTAAATGGAGGAAATTTTAAAAAATTTGGCTATTGCGCCATTACTATTACGCGTAATACTAGGAATCGGTGACCCGACTATTACGCGAGTGATTTCCCCCTCGAAAAGCCAGTTTTTGTTTTGTTTTGGAGAGTGGGGCGTGGAGTCATTAGTCTCCGTGCACTGAAGTCCGCGGGCCCGCTTCGCTTCATGCCTCGCTCCGCGCTTCGGCTCCGCGCTATACGCACAACGCGGCACCGCGTCGCGCGCGCGCACCTCGGCGGCGGTTCGGCGCATTTTCTTGGCACTCCCACCATCCATCCTCCGACACGAAACAGTGGCGCCGTGTCCCGGCGGGCCCCGGCGGGGCCTCGGCGTGTCGCGCCACTGGATGGATGTGACGGGCTGGGGGGGACGTCACGTACCGCGTCACGTAGCGCGTCACGTCGCGCGTGACAAGGCGTCACGCGTTGTATCACTCGCCGGCATCCAGCTCGGGGCGCACTGATAAATTGAGGCGTTTCCCGCGCCACTCGCGCGCGCCTCATTACCGAAGGGACGCCCGAAGGACTCGAAGGGATGCCCGAAGGACTCGAAGGGACGCCCGAAGGACTCGAAGGGACGCCCGAAGGACTCGAAGGGACGCCCGAAGGACTCGAAGGGATGCCCGAAGGACTCGAAGGGACGCCCGAAGGACTCGAAGGGACGCCCGAAGGACTCGAAGGGATGCCCGAAGGACTCGAAGGGACGCCCGAAGGACTCGAAGGGACGCCCGAAGGACTCGAAGGGACGCCCGAAGGACTCGAAGGGATGCCCGAAGGATTCGAAGGGACGCCCCAAGAACAGAAGGACACACAGTGGGCCAGGCGGCTGGTGTCAAAATCCCGGTCGCGTTTTAAGCTCCACAGTCGCTAAATGGGACTCGAAACGAACGTGTGACCCCACCAATGGATTGCTAACCGAACGAGGAATCTATTAGTGGAGTCACACGGCTCAGTT